CTCGCATAACTTATCACATATGCAAGTCTTCTAATAAATTATCATCAAAAGTTCCTAATATATATATATTATTCTCGTATTGTTCTATAGGTCAATGCTATTTAAATTATTCCACTTTTCCTTTCATCCCTTAAGTTGATTATACTAATTCTCTTATATCTAAATCAAGTAATTTATATCTTGTTTCATGTCTTATGCCACATTCTCTTGTTATCACATAAGTAATTTGTATTTTACATAGTTCATGATCCTATAACTTATATCCCCGTTTCATATAGCTCGTATAACATTTTTCCTAAATCATTGTCATATAACACAGATCATATAAATTCATATCACATAACATGTAATACAAACAAAACATATTCACGAAATATCAAGCATAATTATACTTCTAATCATACAGTAATATATTCAAAATATTGGAAACAAACTTGTCGTAAGTCCAATTTCCATATACAATACACATATTCTAATAATACACACTCACCTTGGCCTCACTAAGTTCCAATCCAATTTATAATTTCCTCTCTTGCGATCGAATCATAACTTGATAATCGTTCCGGGACTTTTTCGTGCTCGATATCTATACAATCATTCATTAATACATATTAGTATCCAATTGATATACACTAATCTATCATTTCTTAGACCAAAAGAAATGTCTATTTTAATTTCCCCTTGAAGTGCATCGATGCATTCTTTAACATGTGCATCGATGCACTACCCATGCATCGATACACAAATTACCTTCGATGTTTTCATTTTAAAAGGGATGCATCGATGCACTCCTTATGCATCGATGCACCAATTGCATTCGATGTTTCTTCTTTAAAGAGTGCATCGATGCACGCACATTCAATGTGCATCGATACACCTTGCCCAGAATTTGCATTTTAAGCCCGAAAATCCATTTAATTCAACTCAAATGCTTCATATTTCATCCTCTTTCAAATTCCTAACTTATATATACATGTTTAAACTCATTTATATTCATTTACCTCTTCTTGAACCTTAATATTCTCTCCTATTTATTAACTTCAAGAATCATACCAGATTTTCAACATGTTTTAAAACTCATTTTATCACTTCATATCTCTCAATTTAACCCTTGACAAGTCAAATTCAACTTCAAAATCTATTAACTCCTTCTATTTCACTAATTCACTTAAAAACTCTTCATATGTGATCCTTCATAACTCATCCATTTTGAAGTTTCAACATACTTTCATCTCTAAATAATCTTTCTTAACACCCCAAGAATCAAAACTAAGCTTAAAACTTAAGAATTAACCAACTGAAATTAAGCTTACCTTTGCTTGAGCTCTCACGTGGAGGAGAAAGAAGAAGGGAGAAGAGTTTTCCAGATAACTCTCCCTACAAGCTTATCTCTTTATTAAGAGATAAGATAATTATCTTTAGATAACAAAGACCATTTTGCCCTTAATCTCCTTTAAAAATTACTAATAACTTTCAAGAAATATCTCCACATAAATCATTGAATTATTCTACTTTTCTACTTTTATCCCCAAATTCCTAAATTTTACAATTTAGTCACTAACCCAATATTAAAGATGTTACACAAAACTCCCGAAAAGGAAGCCTTGCTGGAGCATTATCAGCGTACACAGGAGAGAGAGAGAGAGAAATTCATGCTTGCAAACCTCATATTGGCGAGCATTACTGTGATTCAGTCATTGAATAAGGCAATCCTGATTAATAAATTTGACATTGTCGCTACACGCGTAAGGGTATCGAAGCGGATTCTCTACATCTCCCGGTTCCAGCAAATCCTGCAAACGTCTTCATCTTCAAAATTAGTATTGAACTGAATATGCGAATCCGAGTTTGAACTCGAGAGAGAATGGTCCGGCGAGGAGGGCGGAGTAGCTTGCTTCGGCGATTTCACAACGGAGTCATCGCTGGACGTAGATTTGAAACTATGATCAAAGAAATGCTGGAGGATAGGACCCAAACTCTTATCATAGAGGCCATAGCAGTTCTCTCTCTCTCTTCAAATCCTTTTTTGCTTTGTTATTGCTTTTTTTACTGAATGTCTACCTCATTTATAGTTGAATGTGGCTTTGTTTTTTGTGATTGGTAGTAGGGATGGCAACGGGCCGGGTTCGGGCCGGGTATTGGTCCCCCCGTCCCCGTTTAAAAAATCGGTACCCGTCCCCGTTTAAAAAACCATAGGGATTTAAACGGGGATCCCCGTCGGGTAATCGGGGAAAACCGCGGGGAAACGGGTATCCCCGTTTAGCATAAACGGTTATTTAAACGGGTATTGGGCCGGGTATTTGGTTGGTATTGGGCCGGGAATCGGGCCGGGTATATATATATATTTAAATTAAATATATATTTTTTATTTAAATTAAATTTATTAATATTATATATATATATATAATTATTTTTAATATTTATCAGGTCGGGTATCGAGGCGGGTAATCGGGGGGATTACCAAACCCGTCCCCGTCCCCGTTTATCATCCCCGAACCCGACCCGTTTAATTCGGTTTTCGGTTTTCCCCGTCGGGTTCGGATTTTTTTGCCATCCCTAATTGGTAGTGGGTTTAGTGGAGTATGTGGTTTTTTAGTGGTGGGGTAGTGAAAATGGTTGAGATACGTGGGGGTTGGAGTTTGAATGGGTTGAGTGCTGGGTTTTGGTCGGATTCGGGTCTTGCAATTGGGTCTTGGGTGTGTACTGTTGGGCTTGTAAATGGGCTGGTAGTAGGCCTGCAAAATGTAATTTAATTTTATTAATAATAATAACAACAACAACAACAATAATAATAATATTTTTTTGACCCGGACAAAAACGGATGCCTACACCTCTCTTCTTTATTTTGATGAGGTTTTGGGGTTAATAACATAGTATGAGATATTTTTTTATTTTATGATGAATAATTAAACACCAGCTAATTTTTAGGGTGAATATTTAATATAATAACGATGTATAATTTTATACATAACTAATGAATCAAATGATGATATATTGTAAATAATAAATTTAAAACAAGTTTAATTTTAAAAATCATATAATGATGTGTCAATAATTAGTGTCGTAAGAGAATCCATGTTAACAGAGATGAGTATAAGATTGAATTCAACGATTTCCGACCTGATCTTATATGATTGATTTTTTAAACAAAGTCAAACTCGAAGAAATTCTTTTAGAGGATAAGATTAGGTCAAATTTAAAGTGAAAAATATTTGATCCGACATTACCCAAGATAATAGTGTAATTATCTTTTATATACTTAGATATAATTACAATAATATTTCTCTCACCATATTTTTTTAATTATTTTCCTATTTTATAAAATAAAATGAAAATTATATATATATATATATATATGTGTGTGTGTGTGTGTGTGTTAGGTAGGGATACAAATTTTACTCCAAAAAGCAGGTTGAGTTTCATTTGAAATGAAATTCCTATTAATCCGGATCATGTCGGACTGGCAAAAAAACATGGCCCATGCACATCACAATATTTGAACAATGTGTAGGCAAATTTCGTGAGATAATGGTGTGGAAAAAAATCGTGAGATAATGTTATTGGAGAATTAATTGCTGAGATAGGGTATTTGCTATAAGAAGAGCATTGGTCGCCAGGTACTCCGGGCGACCAAGCCGTTCGAGCGTTGGAGGTTGCCAAGTATGCCTTCTTTGAGAATGATGAAGGCTCGATCTCTAAGCTGGAAAGCCTGGAGAAAAGTTTTCACCCGATCTTATTCTTTCTAGTTAAGGATTGGTATTATATATGAGAATGCATGCATGCATGCATTTCCAAAGTAAGGGAAGTGTAAATTTGATATCTTAAGCGTTTCCTCCCTCACTTTTGTAAATAAATTGCTGGGTTCAAGATCATTTTCGGCTCTATCAATTTCTCACGGAAACTTAGTACCCAAAATGTCCAATGAATTAAAGCATCTTGGTGACCTATAAATAGCAATCCTTTTAACCAAATTCATTCAACTCATTCCAACACAAAATTTCTTTGGCCGGAAAATTTTTGCAGCCATGATTCATGAACACCAGATCACCCCTAGACATGAACATTACGGTTGCATGGTTGACCTCTTTGGCCGTCCAAATCTCTTTAGATAAACTGTTGAGACAATGCCTTTTGCATCCAATGTTGTCATTTTGGGATCCCTCATGGCTGCTTGTCGAATTCATGGCGATACTGAATTAGGATAAATTGCTCTGCCTAAAAGCTACTTGAGCTTGAGCCAGATCATCATGGAGCTCTTGTGCTACTACCAAATATTTATGCCAAAGGAAGAAAATGCAAGAGCTTGGGGATTTGAGGCAACTAATGAATGAAAGAGGTATTTATAAGGAAAGGGGATGTAGTAGGATTGAATTGGACAATGAGGTGCATGAGTTTTAGTGGCAGATAGGGATCACCGACAAGCAGATGAGATATATAAAAAGATTCATGTATTTATACAGTGTCGAATTTAAAAATATTTTTTTACGATAAACACATATATTAAAATATACATTCTTGTTCGACTTGTCGAAAGGTTGGTTTTAAAATATCGTTCTGTTAAAAAATCAAGACAGCTAGCTTTTCCCAAATATTTTAAGATCATCTTAGCTTCAGCAGCAAGTCAAGATGAAAATGAAGGGAAAGGAACTAAAATAAACATGGTTTCCTTATCTTTAATATGATTACAGTTACCCACCTTATGGCTTACACCTTCCCCTTCACTCAAGTTGGATACCATAACAGGTTTCAGTTTCAGAAAATCCCAGATTTTCTGCATCTACCATCTTTGTTTCTGAAGCTCGGATGATTGTCGTATTGGGATTTGTCCAGTTTTCAATTAAACCACTCCGGTTGTCGTTTCTCTAATTGTCTCAAAAATTCCAATAATGTTCAGCCCCTCAAACGACAATGACATTCAACAGCATTATCACCTCACATCATATGATATTATATACTTTACTTTCAAGATAAGAAACTAATCAAGATGGTTTAACCCCATTTTTCTTCAACTATAAATAGCTGTGATGATGTTGGGTTGCAATGAATCAAAAAGATCATCTGGTAGAGATGATTAAGATGAGTCCAAGTAAGCCAACTCTAGTCTTTGTTATGTTGGCTGTGATTTTGCTTTTCCAGAGTGTTCATTCTCAGCTTCGAGTCGGATTTTACAAAGATACATGTAGCTCAGTAGAATTTATCGTCAAAGAAGAAGTGACGAAAGCGATTGTTAAAGATAGAGGACTAGATGCTGCTTTGATGAGAATGCATTTCCATGATTGCTTTGTTAGGGTGAGTGAGCACTATAGCCATTGAATCTTTCTTTACAAAATTAGATTCATTGATCAGCTTGATCTGTATCATAGGGTTGTGATGCGTCGGTACTCCTCGACTCGACTCCATCCGGCACTGCAGAGAAAGACTCCTTTGCCAATAACCCGAGTTTACGAGGCTATGAAGTCATAGACAGAGCAAAGGGTAGATTGGAAGCTGTATGCAAAGGAATAGTTTCCTGCGCTGATATAGTTGCATTTGCAGCTAGGGACAGCATAGAGATGGTAACCACATATGCTTTCATTGTTTAAGCAACTAAAATTCTTGACACTTATTTATCGAATGTTCGCGCAGGCCGGAGGACTCGGCTATGATGTCCCTGCAGGTAGAAGAGACGGTAGAATATCACTAGCCTCGGAGATCATCGGAAATCTACCGCCCCCGACGTTTAACGTCAACCAATTGACGCAGATGTTTGCCAATAAAGGCTTCACACAAGAGGAAATGGTCACACTCTCAGGAGGACACACACTTGGGCGGTCTCACTGCAGTTCATTCAGTGACAGATTGTACAATTTCAGTGGAACATCGATGCAGGACCCGAGTTTAGATCCGAAGTATGCAGCCAAGTTGAAGCAGCAATGCCCTCAAGGTAGCACGGATCCTAGCACAGTGGTGCCGATGACTTCGACTCCTAGCATCGCGGACGCAGGCTACTACGCCGACATTCTAGCCAACAGGGGCTTGTTTACATCGGACCACACGCTGCTTACAAGCCAAGCTACGGCGAACCAAGTGGTGGAGAATGCAAGGAATTCGATCAAGTGGAAGGCCAAATTTGCAGCTGCGATGGGGAAGATGGGGCAGCTTGATGTCTTGACAGGAACCGCAGGAGAGATTCGAACCAACTGTAGGGTGATCAACAGCTAGAGAGATTGATTATTAGTTATCATAAAGTTCGATGGAATTTGAGTGAATTTCAAGTTTTTTTTAGAAAAAGCTAAATGTGATGTGACATAATTTTCAATAGTGAAATGGAAATGTTTGATTGAGAAACTTTTTTACATTTCAGACTTTGATAAACCTAAAGCATGTCGGATGGTGAAATAGATTATCAAGGAAAATGACATCCATATTATCATTTATCAGATAATAAAATGAATACGTTTCGACTTTGAATATTTCAGTGACACACAGTCAAGAGGGACACTTTGGATATTTTCATTTAGGGTAAATTACATAAATCATCACTCTATTCTCTTCGCGATCATGTTTTAATCACTCGACTTTGTATTGTTCTTGCTCTAGTTTCCTGTGGTTAAATAGTTAAAGGTGTTATGACATGACATACGACACCAAAATTATGTTATTTTAGAAAAATCAAATTTACATTAAAAATGGTGTCGTTTTAGATCTTATTTAATTTTTTTTTCTTTTATTCATCGGTTCTCATTGATAGCAATCGATGAGAGCCAAAATCTCTCACCAAATTTGTTTCGCTCTCTTGAACGTGAATTGGGTGTCAATTTAAACAAAGAAAAAAAAACGTTGTTCTTTTGTTAGATGAAATCTGAAAGAGTATGTTGCTTTCGTCTCAAGAGTGGCCTCTTCATTGTTGGATCCTCAAATAGAGATTTCGATCGGTCAAGATACACCAAAATCAAAGATAAATGAGAAGATTTGTGACGGCTTCATAGCATCTAAGATTGCGGTTGTAGTTTTTATTGTTCCGTTTTGATGTCAAGTTTAAGAAGAGCAAAGCTTAAACTTGACAAGAGTTGGCTTGTTTGGTGATGATAAGGGTGACTAGGTTTGGGTCTTAAAAAAAGGAGAGAAGTGGTTTAGAGGCGTTGAACTGTGGTTTTTAGAGTTTGGAGAAGGAAGGCTATAAAGATTTCAATGAGCATGAGGCCCAACAGTTCTACATTAGAATCGATGAAGTGAGTTGACGGTAATGTCATTAGAAGGGATGAATTGTTCTGGTATCTAAAGAAAAGGACGTAAACGTGGAGGATCTAAGGGAAATGGAAGAGGTGAGTGCTTGGCTGTTTTAGAGAGAGAAAGAAATGGCCAAAGAATGAGGGAAGTGGGAGGACCTAAACCCTGAAATGTTGGCTCTAATACTGGTCAGAATCCCGGCTGAGCAGAGGGTGGCAGCCGCCTCTTTGGTCTGTGCAAGTCCTGGATGTCATGTGCGTTGGGTCCATTCTGCTGGTCTGAAATTGACATCCATGACTGGTGTTACAGCCTCCATCTCGCTGTTGAATACGTTTATTCTGCCAGCAGGAAGCTCGCACGTCACAGCAAGGGCGAAAGGCACCTCTCTGCCTTCAGCCTTGGTGACGCTGACTTCGTTATCACTGCTAACCAGTACTGCCATTCATTACTCTCATTTCCCATCTTCCTACGTTTTCCTTATGAAAAAATTTCATGACTTCAAAATTTTTGGGCAAGGATTGCCCATGAGTGAAGTGAATGACAAGATAGTGGTAAAGTTTGCAGAATCAATTTCATCAAGTATTTGCATCTCTAATGTCCTCAAAAATCAAACCATACATGAAATCATTTGCTCCAAATTATCTACTGCAAAAATTGCAACAAACCAGAGTCCCAGAAATGGGCAAAAAATGCTTTAGAAATGGGCAAGGAAACAATCAGTTGCAAATACACTGATAATGAGTTCCGAGAAAATTATATAAATTTCAAGTGAAACAATGAAAGGGTAATCTAAACCACCGCCACTGCTAGTTCTAGTTCCAAGCACTCATCGACAGTCTACCAAGTTGAACAATAAGACTGACAGATACTACCTAAGTGGTAAGCTCCATAATAGCACTCACAATGTCACCATTGGTACTCTTGAGAGCCTTGACAGCCTTGGCCCTTGAAACCCCAGCCTGTGTCATGACCAAATCAATGTCCCTGGGCTCTACACCAGTCTCATCAACCTCTTCTTCTTCCTCATCAGCCGGTGCTCCAGCAGCCGTAGTAAAAGTGTCTGGTTTTGCAGTCAAAGAGCCCATGTCTGGCACCCTGAACTGCTGGGCAGCTTGTGTCTGTAGCTGAGAGCTCAAATCCTCTATCTTAGCCTCACCAAAAATGACATAGGTCTCGGAATTTGGGCTCTTGAAGACATCAGGTTTCGAAATGAAAAACAGTACCTGAATTCAAGTGAAACTAGGTTATATTACCATTCATCAAAGTAGCGACTATTTGAATTGAAAAAAAACCGTTGAAATCATACATTTTTGGTTCTCTTTATGGTGACCCTGCTTACACCAGTGACAGGCTTCATGCCTAGCTTTAACATGGCCTTTCGACTCTTCTTCTCACTTCTGCTCTGCTTAGAACTTCCATTAGCACCTGCAATCAATATTTGAAGCAAGCTATAAGGGCTGCATAGAAATAACCATGCAACTAACTCGGATAAGGCGATAAGCAAATAATAAAAACAGCATAAATAGAATCGATGACATTCATTGCCACTAACGAATCAATTATCTATTCTACAATATAAAGCATTGCTAGATATTGTATGCAAACAAGGTTGCAAAAACCATAAAACATCTAATTCCCATGACTCTGAATAGCAAGCTTAAACCATGCGGGACAAAACCAGATTATCGAGGAGTAGATAGTTGGGGAACATTAAGCATAAACCAACGGATCAAAGGACAGAACTTTAACCATGCAATTCTCGAAAGAGGTGGACAATTTACAAAAGTTTCCTTCACAAGGAATACACTCAAACTGAATATCTAAGCATATATACATGCCAAATTCCAAAAAAAAAACTTTCAGCAAATTTTCCATTAGTCCATAAACTACCATTAGAAATAAAGATAATAACATCTTCAATACAGAAATGAGAGCAAAGTAACAAGGGAAAAGTAAAAAAAGGGAGAAACCTTGGGCATCATCTTCCTTATCATCGTCATCTTCCTCATCGTCCTCATCGTCGTCGTCATGTTCTTTCTCATCTTCCTTAACATCTTCAACCACAGCCTCCTCGCTCTGTAAGCCAAACCATGTTAACAATCGTTTTAAGAAAACAAAAAGGGGTTAAATAAGGGGGAAACCTGAAGCTGCTGCTTGGGTTCCTCAGTAGAAGGAACCTCCTCGGGCTCAGGCTTAACGGCTTCAACCACAGCTGCTGGCGACATCCTTTTCGAAATATAGGGTTTACCAGACTAGGGGAAAAGAAATTTGGATAAAAATTCAGAAGCGTCCACGGTGCACAGACAATCGAGGGTTAACCTTCTTATAGAATTATGGGTTGTGCTGCTGGTGAAGAGGGTTTTGAGGATCCCTTCTGCTCTTCTGGACAGTTGATGCTAGGCCTAAAAACAACATACCCAAGCCCACACTTTGAAATTAAACGGCGAAATGTCCAGTATTGCTATCTATGAAATTTCATGTAAGATGATGGTTAACACAAATATCACCTCGTTGATTTTCAAATAATTTAGGCAAAAAGGTATATAAAGCTAATGTAATTTTTGAAAAAATCAATATAGTCATCAAATTATTTTAAAAAAAAAAAGTTAAATGGTTCTTTGATTAAGGTTTTCATCATTGATCATTATGAGATGCTAACGTGACGGTCTACAGGGACGGTCTACATGATTGATGTGTTAAATTATTTTTTTATTGAATCCGAGGGTCATATTGATTTATTTTAAATTCAATGACTTATTTAATTTTATAAGAAAGTATTTTAAATTTAAAATTTTAAAAGTACAAATATACAAATAATAAAATATAAAATAAATTTTGTGCATGATGAACGAGTTTAGATTTATATAAATAAAAATTAGGTTGAATTTGAGGTAAATAATAATATATTTTAATTTTTTAGTAATTTAATTTTTATTTTTGGTATTTTATTATATTTATTTTTTAAATACTTTTTAAATTTAAAATTTAAAATATTTTTATTTAAAAAAATAAGGCCCTAAATTAAAAAAACTTATTTTTTCCTCAAACTCAATAAAAAAATCAATTTAGCACATTTATGTCACCGTGGATTGTCACGTCAATACCATGAAATATCATATTAACATCGTAACGGTCAAATAGAGAAATTGTTGGTCAATGAGCCACATTGGGTTTTTTTTTCTAAGTTTGAGATTCACATTAAATGTAAAAATAGTTCGAGGACCATACTAATTTTCTTTTAAGTACACAAACCTCTCAAGTATCTTTTTGTTAGTAATTTAATTGAACATAAAATGCATTACAAGAGAGTTTTGATACAAAATATAATTTATGTTAATCAGTAATATAAATAAATATTTAATTTATAAAATTATTTTGAATAAACAAATTAAATTAACATTGTTATATCATCTAAAGTCCAGATAATAATTGTTTTGTTTTAACTATCAAAGTGTGTTGGCTCTCAATATCAAATTTCGGTGCCCACCTTATCTGGAAAAAAAATGTGTGTGTATCAAAGATGCTTATAAGTCAGATCAAAGTATACTTATGTGTGAGATTAAACACCATATTCCAACCCGAAACTTTTAAATTTTATGTTTGTACGTGGTTTAACCCAATTCATTTTAGGTTTGTCGTTACTTTAAAAGATATTTATGCTATTTTAAATTTTATAGATTTAATTTAATGTTAAACGTGAGTAATTCGATGTTTTTAATGTTTATACTATAATATTATCTATTCTTATAGATTTAATTTGTATGTGATATAAATGAGATTATGTGTATTTTTTGGAAATCTCTAACTCATATCGTAATTCAAGATTTCCTTGTCCATTATTCACCCAATCATTTGGACGTTAGATCCAATGCTTAAATCATATTTCGTCTAAAGAAAAACTATGAAGAATTAATTAAAATTAACACTAAATATTTTACGGGAGATCTCTACCAAATCATCGATATGACTATCGAAATCGTGAACACTAAGTCTCATATCAAATACATGTTTCAAATGTTGGAGTGTCCTAACAATATTGTAACAATTATCAAGTAATTTAATAATATTGTATGAAAATATACTCAATTCATCAAATGTTAAATAATTAATTAGTATAAATGTAATATTTAGTATAAATGTAATATTTTAGAGATTATGAAAATTTTGTCAAGTATAACAATTATAGACAAAGCCCGTATGTTCATTAGGTTATAAATGTGAAAGGAATAACTAATGGGCAAATGGGGTTAAAAGGTCGCAGTCATTATTGATATATTGTCACGTATAATGAGAGATAGGTTGTGGAGTTGGTGGGGGGAGTTTGGTGAACTATAAATTCAAAAAAAAATATAATTAATCTTAGGAATTTATTTATCTAAGTTTATCTTATAACAAATAAAAAAACAAATATATTTTGAATCATTATTTCTTTTCAATTTTTAATTCGAATTGGTTGGAACAAACAAATTTCATATCCAATTTAGACTAAACTCTCCGAGATTTCACGTAAAATTCAACCAATTTAGACTAAATTTCATATATTCTGCCTTATATATATATGCAAGTAAAATTCAAATTTAAACTCTTATAAATATAAATAAATTAATTAAAAATATCACATAAAATTATCCAATTTCATAACGAATATTTTAATATTTTCACACATAGGATCTATGTAACCCTCTCAGACCGATGCAGGTAACCCGATCCGATCTGAAGTGTCACATTAGGGCCACCGGAGTGACCCACTGTAAAAATAGCGGAAAATTTAAAACTTTTAATAAAACATGTACTTATAAAATGATTTATCAGTATACAAAACTAAAACAGATTTTCAGACTCGTATATAAAACAAAATACAATTACATGCCCCCTAATCACTTGTACCATACTCTGCAAACAACGTCGGACGAACTCTCTTACTGAAGTCGATAGCTGCACTAATACAATTCTTTTAACCTGCAATGTTGAGTAATAGAGTGAGCTTCGAAAAGCTCAGTAATATAGAACTACCAGATGATGCTGAAGATCGTGCATATACAAATCACATTATATTTCCTTATTGGTTCCGAACATCTATAGATTTTATGATGAGCGGAGATCCTACTGATATTTCAGGGGTAACGGATAATGAGTTTTCAGTTCAGATAAGTATTTCGAAAGACTAAGTTCAGGAGATCAGAATAGATTATCTAGTGTGTTCCCATAAAACCAGAGAAGAAATACAGATCTTTTCTTTTTAAACAGTAGTAGTTTAAAAACATATTTTTATTCAAAAATCATATTAATCCCTCCAACCAAACGCTCCATAATGTGTAGGTTCCCCATAACCATACACCCACATACACACTAAGTAAGGACTTACCCTGAGCACAAAGCAGATGAGCCAACAGTAACTGTAACTTCCTCCAACAACACCCTCCCATAAAACATTTATCAAAAATCATATTATTCACTCCAACCAACACTCCATAATGTGTAGGATCCACAGAACCTTACACCCACATGCACTTCTACTAAATTCCATGATTCCATAAATCAGGAACAATTCATATTTTCCATTGAAAACAGGAAACCATATAACACATTTCAGGTAACCATAATTCATAAACCAGTAAATTCCATTATTTCATAAATCATGTACAATTCATATTTTTCGATGAAAATGTAATCGGAGATCACATACCATGTTGCCATGGTTCATAAACGAGTAAATCAATACTTTCGTTAAACTCATTTGAAACATATAAAAATGTCATGTAGTACATGTGGAACACACTAGAGGATCAAAATATTTATCTGATATTCTTCAGAGATACTGGATAATCTTATTGGGCAGAGAAACAAGGATCTTCAGTTTACCGATAGAATGTCGGAATTTAGAATCACTATAGGAATAGTTCAATAACTAACGGAATCATCAGTTAGTCAGAATATAACTTGAGCTGATAAGGAAAAAATGAAGATTCAGGACATTTACAGTCGACGTCGATTTATCGAATTATTGAAATAACTCAAGTTTAACAACTCCCAAAACTAATGCATGTTGCCCAGTCCATTCGTTGTTCTACCAGGTATTCACTCTTTAATACCAACAATTATTGTCCATAAATCAACTTTTGAGTCATCATTAAACATATCTTAAGGAGACGAACAGATATTCTAATGGTCGTTATTTCCTTTTCATGCTTTCACGATACCATGAAATGTTGATATACTTGATTTGTGGTTCATAATCCATAGGGATGATACATCATGTAAGTTCATCCGAATTTTCAGGCTTATCCTAATCATTTACTTAATCCTCAGTCATTGAGGTTACTTAGTTCATTTAGCATTCAAGTCCATTCCAGTTACTTCGGGATTTTCCAGAGTAATTCAAACGTTCCTGAATTTCAGAAGATACATATTGTACTTCCAATCCATTCAATTTGGTCTTCGCGGTTGATTTGTCGAAAAAAACGTCCACTTCTTAGTACTGAATGCGATCTAGAGCTGAGCTGAATACTTCCAAAATTATCATCGAGCCAAACTTGAGAAGACGAACACGCATTCAAGTAATATCTATGCCATTCAGGTATTGACATAGCTTTAGAGTTGATCTACTCACTTAAATTGTGTCCCATTACTTTTAAGGGTAGTACAACACCTATGTTTATTTGAATTCCTTATTAGTCCAACACCTCTACTTAGTCTAGGTCATAAGGGTATTTTAGTCATTTTGGTGCTCAGTTTTATTCCATTTATTTCAGAGCTTGGGGATATCCAATCATTCCTGAGTTTGGTGATATTCTTGGTCATTTCCATACCAGGGGTATTTTGGTCATTTTATAGATCCCTTGTATTACAATCATTTCCTTCCATCTGATCTTATTATTAAATTCAAACTTATCATTACCTCAATCCTTTCAAACAATTCTGACAAAAGAGCACCATTGATAAATCATTCTTCAGGTATTTACTTATAACTCAGATATTTCGGGTCAAGTGCCTTCTCAAATTTTACAAACGTAATATTAGGAATTTTTCTGCACTAAGTCAGGATCTTAACAATCAAATACATACTTAATCGAGTTAAATACGAATTCTCAAAGTACTTTCTCATTCAGGGTCAACTCGGACTATTTTACCTCTCAAGGGCATTTTCGTAATTTATTAACCAGATAATTTCGGTATTAACTCTTAACAAAAATAATATAATTTAGAGATCCTATGATTAATTGCTTTCCCGAACATTCTCTGATCTTGAAATGATTCCCTTAACAGACTCCTAGATTCTTGTTCAAATTCTTTCTGTTTAA